TTGGTGTTGTTCAATCTCTTTAGGTTTGTTTGTTTGGTTTGTGTTGTTCAATCTCACTAGGTTGGTTTGGTTGGTTTGTGTTGTTCAATCTCACTAGGTTTGTTTGGTTTGGGTTTGTTTGTTTTGTTCAACTTCTCTAGGTTGGTTTGGTTTCTTTGTTCAACCTCTCTAGGTTGGTTTGTTTTGTTCAACATCTCTAGATTGGTTTGGTTGGTTTGTGTTGTTCAATCTCACTAGGTTTGTTTGGTTTGGGTTTGTTTGTTTTGTTCAACTTCTCTAGGTTGGTTTGGTTTGTTTGTTCAACCTCTCTAGGTTGGTTTGGTTTGTTCAACTTCTCTAGGTTTGTTTGTTTGTATGGTTTGTTGTGTGTCAACCTCTCCAGGTTGGTTTGGTTTTTTGAATTTGGTACAAGGCTATTCGAGGGCTATCTGCACTAGCCGTCCCTAATTTAGCAGTGTAAGACTAGAGAGAAGGCAGCTAGTCATCACCACCCACCGCCAACTCTTGGGCTACTATTTTACCAACGAATAGTGGGATTAACCGTCACTTATAACGTCCCCACAGCTGAAAAGGCGAGCATGTTTGGTGGGACGGAGATTCGAACTCGCGACCCACAGATCAGATGGCGACTCGAGCGCCCTAAACCATGCCGAGCTGAAAGTGACGGATATAAAATGATGTTCTCAAAGTTTGGAAGTTTTTTTACAAATAATGCATCCCGCTGGATATCGTTTTGTATTTTGTATCAGTGTTTGTTTTCATTACTAACTCAACTATCTTCTCTTTACATCCAGACCATGGGAATCCAAGCTGGAGATTATCGTAATATACATCTCATTTTAGTTCCACATTACTGTTGATAATCTTCTTTTCAAGCTTTTCGAATGTTTTCATATTCACTGAGTTTGATAATTTTTTATGAGTAAGTAGTATTTAGGCTTTCTAAAATATTCAGTTTTATATGTACTATGTCACACTGTGATGTTAAATTTATGAAAAGTCAGAGCGGTTATAGGGAAGTTTTAGGAAACACTTATTAAAAGTTGGAGAGTACTTAAAATAATTGCGGCAATTAATTGAAAACGTTTTAAAAACGAGAAAAATATTGTCTTAAGAACACCATTTTTATGTAAACTTGATTTCAAAGCACATTTTCTGTCGTTAGGCTTAGGAGTGTAGGCGAGCACGAAGATTTACAATTCTTGAATGAACTTGATTTACACAGTGGAATTACTTATCACATTTTCTCGACAGTTTGTTTGAAAAACTTAGAAAGCTTTCTTTCAGAGCGAACTTTTTACTGACTTATATTTTAATCACTGAAAATGTTGACGCTTTGATTAAACAAAGTCATATCATCAAATAGTTTTTTTTCTCTAAATTAGTACACACCATTACCGGGGCGGGGCGCTCGATTCGCAGTCTAAGAGTCGCGAGTAACGCTTCTTTCGTCTTTACCCCCAGACCATCATGAATAACCTGGTACGTCGTTACATCACCAAGGAACAAAGACGCGCGGATAATGAAGGAGTCACTGAGGACGATGTGAACGAGATTAAACAGGATATCTCCTCGTTTCGCTACGAACTGATGGAAATCCTGAAGACCAGCGGGTTTAATACGACGGTAGCAAAAGGACAAACCCAAGGTTCGTACTAGCTTTTAAAACTCGTAAATTATGATAATACATATTATATTAAAACTATAAGGGCAAACCCAAGGTTCGTACTAGCTTTTAAAACTCGTAAATTATGATAATACATATTATATTAAAACTATAGGGTCAAACCCAAGGTTCGTACTAGCTTTTAAAACTCGTAAATTATGATAATACATATTATATTAAAACTATAAGGTCAAACCCAAGGTTCGTACTAGCTTTTAAAACTCGTAAATTATGATAATACATATTATATTAAAACTATAAGGTCAAACCCAAGGTTCGTA